TACTACTATATTTTAGAGCTTCAATTATACCTTGTTAGTGTCAGCAAATTATTTACTATAGGAGCCTATGAAAAGGACATACATATTATTGATGAAGGGTGGAAGGTGGTTTTGGGGGTTGGCCAGGACTGGAAGCAGAATCCATAGGCTCTTCCAATTCACAGTCATAATCTTTGAGAAATTAATAGTAAGGGGAAAAGTTAGTACGAGGAAAAAAAGTTTTCAATTGTTGATAGGTCTGTTTTATCGTTGTTTCTTTCAATTGCTGGGTGAAGTAATGGATAAGTATACGAGATTTGATCAGGGGAACTTCTGGCACAATGTGCTTTCTGGATGGAAATAATTGCATACTAGCTCTTTGATATGACTCATTTGGTTGTTTCTAGCTCTCTGCTTTCCCACATTCTGACTTTTTTCTGTAAATACAATAGGAAAGTTGTAAATAACAGATGATACTAATTCAATAGAAATAGTAAGCTGATTAGCCATTCTGCTTTTATTTCTTTTCCAAAACTGGATGTAATTGATTCTTAAGGCCACCTCAAAAAATAAAGACTTGGCTTTTCTTCAGGTGAATTGTGGTGTATTATTTGTTCTCCTTTTTTAGCTTCTTATGTTTGTTTATTCATTATTTCTTTCTAAAGCACTGTTGCCTGGCTAGCTATTGTCATTACTACAAAACATAGTACTGTTTTTGGAGCGAATGTTGCAGAACCCTTGTTTAGCTGATTAAAAGTATTTCCATTGTCCAGAGCAACCTAAATGTGAATTGATACTCGAGCTTTTTCAATTTTTAGGTAGCTGCTACATCTGACCTAATGCTTGCATATATGGACTTCTTTCTTGGTGGGGATGAGAAAAGAAGTGATCTACCTCCTCGTCTTCATCAAAGGTTTCCTATGTATTTGCTGTTTGGAGGTGATGGAAGTTACATGGCTCCCTTCTCACTTCACAGTGACAATATCACCACTAGTCTTATGAGTCAGGTTTGTTGTGTTATACCGCTTAGGTTTATAGCTGGATGTAGGTAAATGAACCTCAATTGCAAATAGAAAGGCAAGATGTTTTTACTCGGATGGTTGATGTGATATTTTGATTGCCTTGAGATGTTTGATACACTAGAATACAATGCATGAGCTTTTCTTTCTCCTTAGCTTCAAGCAAGTTGGCTTGGCACTGATTTCACTGTTTGTTCACATGTGCTATTCATTAAACTTTTCTACACAAAAATAAGGTATGGTTCTCAAAATTCTTAGTATGCAGGCTGTCCCACCTACCACATGGTTCCGATTTGTTGCTGGTTTGAATGCCCAATTACGCTTAGTACGTCGTGGTTGCCTCAGGTCGACGTTTCGGCCTGTTTTCAAGTGGCTGGAAACTTTTGCCAATCCTGCTTTAAAGATCTATGCCATACATGTAGATCTTGCTTGGTTTCAGACTACCACTGGTGGTTTTTGTCAATATGGGCTTGTGTTAGATGCTGTTGATGGAGATACTGGACGTTTGTCTTTTCAAGACCTTGATGGAGCTCTTAGGACTGGGCCTCAGTTACGGTATTGTTCTATACTACACCATTCCAGCAGATTATGTTAGTTGCATGAGTATTTGTTTCAGAAGTCAAGAATGCAAATAGGTGTTCCAAGTGGACATGATTGTTAGTTCTTTTGCAGGTATGATATTGTCAAAAAATTCTGTAGTCAACAGAGCTAATATAAAAAGCTACAAAATAAACTAGTGCAGGCATGAAAGCACATCATCCGAAGAGAAAAATGTGACTTGCGTCTCTAGGAGATTCAGAATCCAGACTAAAAGACCACACCCTTATCCAGCAACAACGATGACTGCCCCTTCCATGGCCATCTCTGTCGTCCCACTAGGCTCATAAATACTTTTTTTATTAAAAGAAAAACATATTTGGGGGGGGGGGTTAAGTTTCTAAATTTCTTTCTCTTAGTAATTGCTTAACCCATCTTGCCAAAAAAAGGGGAAAATTAAGGAGAGTAATTTTTACAATGCAAGGGCATGCTGCAGTCCCCCTGATATAAGTAAATGAAAGCTATTGGGATGAGGTTGGCCTGGGAGGTGCCGGTGGTTTTGACTGCTGCATCTAAGACTAAGTCTGGAGTACTTCAATAGTTTGTTTAACCAACATTCTCAGTCAAGTGACTAATAGTGGCATGTATTATAATCTGCCGAAAGTTCAGTTGGTAACATTGAAGCATTGCTGGAAAAGCCCGATAGTAGTAGGTAGCTAGATAAATTTTACAAAAGTGTTAAATTGTTTGATTTTTATTTGTCCTGGAACTCTAATACTATTTGCTTTGGGGTAGTCTTCTTAGACGTGCAGATTTCCAGCTGAATTACTCTTGGTTACGGAAAATTTATAGATATTATTTGCCAACCCTTTTGCCAAATCCCTTGAGCATAACTTCTTCTCCACCCCCCCCCCCTCTCTTTTTTTTTCTCGATACAGCGGTAGCACTATTAATTGGGAAGTTCCATCCAGTTTAACAGAAGATTCATTCTTTGGTCTGACTCGTAGAAGCAGTGAAAGTAATGTCAGGCGGAAGATTTATGGTGGGATTCTAGATGTCAACTGCTTAAAGAAAATTGAGGAGAAAAGAGATATACTTTTTGCGCTCTCTTTTCTAATGCATAACACTAAACCTGTTGGCCACCAGGTAGTTGCTCCTCTCTCTCTCTCTCTCTCTCTTTCTGCAAATGCATGCATAGATGCTGTCTGTGATGGTATTTGTTGCATGTCGTGCTGTTAATATTATTCAAGGTGCTATTTGCTCGCTGAACATGCCTTGCGCCTTTACTGCAGGATCTTGTTGGTTTGGTCATTTCAATGCTACTTCTAGGTGATTTCAGCTTAGTTTTGTTGACTATGCTCCAGCTGTACTCAGTTTCATTGGCCGATGTCTTCCTCTTTTTGTTTATTCTACCATTGGGGATCTTACTTCCATTCCCTACTGGAATCAATGCTCTATTCAGTCATGGACCAAGACATTCAGCCAGTCTTGCCCGTCTGTATGCTTTGTGGAATGTCACATCCCTGATAAATGTTGTAAGTAGCTTATTTTTGTAAATGTTTATTCTAGAATCGTTCTTTAGCACCAATGGCAGGGGGTTGATGCAGATCTTTTAGTTATTATATGCTTCATCTGATTTTTTAACTTTATTTCTGCCATTATGCTTATTTAAGTTTTCCTTGTGAGTAATCATTTCCAATCTCCTCCCCCCTTCCCCCCCTCCCCCAACCCCCAACACACGAGCACACACAAACAAAATAGCTACAAATTCATGTGATAAATGATTTGTTAAAATTTGAATTCTTGTATCAGGTTGTTGCCTTTGTTTGTGGATATGTCCGTTACACCACCCAATCAAGGAGAAAAATTCCGTACATTCAGCCTTGGAACATGTAAGAGAATTCATTGGCAGTGCTCAATAATTTCATTTAAGGAGTTAGTGCGATTTTGAACAGCAAATGCATGTTCTAAAGTTGTCTCCTTAATTGCTGTGGATGCAGGGATGAAAGTGAATGGTGGATATTTCCTTTTGCTTTGGTTTTGTGTAAATGTATCCAGTCGCAGCTTATAAATTGGCATGTTGCAAATTTGGAGATTCAAGATCGCTCTTTGTATAGCACTGACTTCGAATTGTTCTGGCAATCATGATTTTTACATGTTAACACCATCCAGTTTTTGTTCGGTTCGTGTTGGTGCATTTTCGTTTAACGTGGCCTCAGTGTAGAGTGTAGAAATAGAATGATTAATACAGGAGTAGAAAGGTATTTAGCAAAATGAAAGGAAATTAGAAAATGACGTAGATAGAAAGAGAGAGATAAAAGAGATTGGCATCATGTGTGTAGCTGACCATTTTTGATGTGCAGCTGTAGCTTTTGCAATGTAAATGTTAACGGATATGCGCAAGGAATAGATTTCTTCTACTAGTTAGTTCTTTTCAATTCCAGCAAGAGACAGTCGCTCATTCTACTTAATAATGCTAATGATTTATTAGTATGGATGTATTGTATTATTGTCTTCCAGGCCATCGATTCATACATGGTTTTGTTGCCGTGCCATCTATTCATATAGAGTTGTATTGCGGTGGTTATTATTGATCTTCGCACCCTATTTGCTGTTTTTTTTTTGGTCGAATGTCAGCAATGCGGTGTGCTTATATGTAATGGCATTGCTCCTGCTTATCGAGTCATTTCAAGCCTGCCATTTGAGTACCGTTTGAACAGATTTAACTCCTCCCTCGCACAGCTGGGGTTGAAACAAAGTGGTGGCATCAGATATTCTTGGACAATGGTGTGCTTGAGCGTTTGATTTTTGTGGTCTGGTTCACAACTGATTCTTAATTGTCTGATAGCTTTTGTTCCAGCAAGTCTCTTCTAGGGTTGCAAACGAATCGGCTTGTGAGTGGTTCGAGTTAATCAAGGCGAACTCGAGTTTAAAGACATTTATCTCGTTAGCTCGCGAGTTGGTGCGATTATATATATAATGTTTTTTAATACTTTATTATTTGTTAATAAAATTATTATTTTATTTATTTTTCTTAAAAATAAAAATAATTATATAGTTTTTTTTTTATGCTTGAGAGCCTGAGTTTGAACTTCAACTTTACATTTTGAGTTCGGGTTTAAATTTTAAAAAATTAAATTGAAATTCGACTCGTTGAGTCAAAATTCAATTAGGTTGATTCATTTGTGCTCTTGGCAAATGAGGTGGTAACTTTTGGAGTACTCTGGATGAGCTTCAGGGTAGGCGGAGGTAATGGACACATGATTGTGGCTTTGGGCTTCTGATTTTATGCCGGGGAAATTGACAGTGAGTCCTGATGGTTGAAACCTGCTCGAATGGTTACAAGATAAAGGGAGGAGATCTCAAGGTTTAGATTACAAGGATGCAGAGGGTGGAGTGTGGAGTGAATATTACTTTGGAGAAGTTTCGGAGCCAAGCAGAATTGAAGTCCGACGTGGGACTGATATGTTCAAATCTCTTGGGTACTTGACCGTCGCTGCCCGCCTTAATTGTAAGCTTACTACTTCGTCGTCGTTCGCTCACAATGTTCAATCTCCTCGGCTCCAAGCCCTCCATTCCCTCATCAAAAAATGCTTATCCGTGAAAGGAATCAAGAGTCTGCACGCCCGAATCATCGTCCATGGCCTAGCCCATCGTGACTTAACTGTAAACAAACTCATAGCGTCCTATGCACTCTCACCATGGGGTGATATTCAATATGCGCAGATACTGTTTGATGAAATTCCTCAGCGAAACCGTTACGTGTATAACAGTTTAATCCGGGGTTATGCAAATAGTGAAGATCCAGAAAAGGCTGTGATACTGTATAAGCAAATGATTGTTTCGGCTATTTTTCCAAATGAATTTACGTTTCCTTTTGTTCTGAAGGCTTGTGGTATTAAAGAGAGTTATAGAGATGGTGTTTTAGTTCATCTGATGGCTGTTAAATTAGGATATGAATCTCATGTTTGTGTTGAAAATGGTCTTATAAATGTATATGTTCGCTGTGGGACTATCGCCTCCGCCAGGAAGGTGTTTGATGAAATCATGGAAAAGACTTTGGTTTCCTGGAATTCGATGATTGGTGGGTATGCGAGAGTGGGTTGTGGCGAACAACCGTTCTTACTGTTTCTTGAAATGAGGGGTAGAGGTATCCAACCCGATGTTTTTACTCTTATGTATTTGCTTTCTGTTTGTTCTCATGATTGCAACTTGGAGTTGGGGAAGTTCGTTCACCACAATGTTGTCATAAATGGGATCGGTGTTGATATTGTTTTACAAAATGCATTTCTTGATATGTATGCTAAGTGTGGAGACCTTCACGCAGCACAAACACTTTTTGATCGTATGGTCCATAGAAATGTCGTTTCTTGGACCTCTCTCCTTACTGCTTATGCCAAACATGGTTGCCTTGAAAGAGCCAAGGATATTTTTAGCCAAATGCCCGTGAAAAATGTTGTTTCTTGGAATTCAATGATGTCAAGTTGTATCCATGAAGGTTGCTTGCAGGATGCATTGGATCTCTTCTTTGAAATGTGCAACTCTAAAGTGGAGCCTGATGAGATTACTTTGGTTAGCGTTCTCTCAGCTTGTTGCCAACTTGGTGATTTGGTGATGGGGAATAAAGTTCAGGATTATATCCGCTGTAACAACATAAACTCTAGTGTTACTTTGAATAATGCACTTATAGATACGTTCTCAAAATGTGGTTCTCTTGAAAATGCATTTGATCTTTTTAATGAGATGCCAGAGAAGAATATTGTCTCCTGGAATGTCATGATTGGAGCCCTGGCATTTCATGGGTTTGGACATGAAGCCATTCAGCTATTTGAAGAGATGCAAGCTGGTGGAAAGTGGCCTGACAAGGTCACCTTCATTGGCTTATTATCTGCTTGTTGTCACAGTGGTCTAACAGACATTGGGTGGTATTACTTTGACAAAATGAGTTCTGTGTATGGAGTACCACGTGAAATTGAGCATTATGCTTGCATGGTTGATATTCTTGGGCGTGGAGGCTTTTTGGATGAAGCAGTAAAGCTGATAGGAAGAATGCCAATGAAGCCACACACTGTTATTTGGAGTTCTTTATTGAATGCTTGTAGGATTTATCATAATATCACAATTGCAGAGCAGGTCCTAAAGCAGCTGCTGGAGCAGGAACCATATGCTAGTCATTGTGGGCTCTATGTGCTCATGTCAAACATTTATTCTGAAGCTAAAAGATGGGGAGACATGAAGAATATAAGAAAATTGATGAATGATAATGGTATCAAAAAGCATGATGCAGTTAGTTCCATTGAAATCTGCGGCAATATACATGAATTCATGGTGAGTGACGAAAGGCATGCAGATTCAAGGCATGCAGATTCAAGGGCAATCTACAATCTGCTTGATCAGTTCATGGATCATCTAAGATCTGACGGCTACATGTATAGCCTTTCTACTGTACTCTTTGAGGTGGACGAGATTTAGTCACTGAGAGCAGTTTGTTGTTGGTGAGGAATCCTGCGAACATATTTGCCTACCGTAACTTGTAAGATCATGCCTCATTCCATGCTCACTTGAAGATACTGTACAACTTCCTTGAACAGCGTTGGTACCATGCTGCAAATCTATGGATCAGATTAAGAACACAGGAAGTGCAGAGATGTAGCTTGATTGGAGTATGATCATGGCAGTAATCGCAGGTGTCAGTACAACAGAAACAGGTAGGGGTTGTTAGTGCATAGCACAAGGGTGAAGCCCATGGAAATGGAGTCGAGGTTGTACTCGAGCCAATTAGCATCCTCAAAGTTTGGATGAAGTTACCTCCAAAGAACCAAGTCTGAAGGTTTGTTTATTCTATTGTTTGGCGTTGCATTCGTCAACTTGCTGTAAAACTGGCTATTGTGAAATATTAAAATTGATCAATTTATAGTCATGTTAAAGGCACGCCCAATGTGTGTGCAATTTAGACTTTGTGAATTTTATTTTTACACTAATAAATTTTATACGAATTTTTCATTAACAACCTTCAATTTATAGGTAATTTTTTCTTCAATTAAAAAATAGATTATTTGGTAGTTGCAATACTTGGAGTAGTTATGAGCGGTTGTGTCAAGAAATGTGATCAGGTGATTAGGGTAAAAAAAAATGTAGGGGCAAAATTGAAAGTTTGAAAAACGACAGAAAATATTTATACCAACCACTACTGCTCTCCATTTATATATAGCATAAATATTGTATAGATATTGATGAAATTGGAGGGAAATAATAAAGTATACATAATAACTAGCCTTGTTGCTAAATATTTGATTTTGAATTCAAAGAAAAAGTTCTCCTGAAAACAAGATGGATAGCTAATGGTTAGATTTAATGTTCAAAAAATAAAAAAAAAAAATCTCTAAAAGCAAGATGCACAGAAGAATAGAATTGAGCAATCGTCCTTTCACTTAACTGGGTTGCTGCACCAAAAAGTAGAGTACAACCAGCCACTGTACTGAATATGTTTTGAGGAGAGAAGAAGGTTTGCATTGTTGTCAAGTTTGTACCAAATGAGGGTGGAGAACACTCAACAGTGAAAGAAGTGACTCTCGGACCTGTCTCTGTGATATGTTGAAGGAATAACCAACACTACTACTACTAGCCCTGCTGTGAAATATTTGGTGAGTATTTGAACCTGAAGGGTTGGGTTAAAGGTTTGATGCCTAGTGAGATTCTTCAAGTTATAGATGCTAACTTGTTGAAACCAAATGAACAACTATACCAGAAAAGTCGAAAGGTCCATATCATCAATCATGGAACTGGACTTGCGTTGTGTGTCTGAATCTCCCAAGGAAAGACTTGCATGAAAAGTGTTCTTGAAACTTTGAAGAAGATAAGACTCCAATACATCAAATATCAGGGAGGTAGATGAACTGTCAAGCAAGAATGTATAGCATTATTTTGTAACAGGAAATTATGACCAGAATTTCAGGAAAAGGGCAATCTGTTGCTCCAAATTAACCAAACCCGAGCTTTGATGATTTTTTTTTTTTTTGTTTGTTTTGTTGTGCTTATACTGTTTATCTCGAAACCTTCATCTGAATGCAAGTTGTCAGTTTAAATTGTCATTGTTGTCCAAATTTTGTCCACAAATTTAGGTTGTAGTTGTATTCCTTCAGTCCTTGTTGCATTTCTTTTCAAGCAGCATGTCAATCATAATAATTTTCTCATGTTTTTACAGTCAAATATAATTTCAACTCAAACGTACTATAATATTCTGAACATACAAAAACTGTAACAAAGCACAATCCCCTATTTTATTGGGAGAACTATGAATCAGAAAATGGATTTTACAGCTCCTTAAAATTTAGATTTGCGTACTTGGGGAGGCCGAACAGGTTTCACTATCTTGTCAGAAACTAGAAGCTCAGTCCAGCTTCATCATGTATTCTGTCCAACACAAACCCATAATTTGTTAATTGGTGCATTCCACAACCCTGTCCAGTAAGATGGGATAAGAGTATGTGATATAAAGGTACCTAGAGACTAGAAAGATGCACCAAACTACTTAAACTGTCAATATACTGAATGCAAATGATTACACAGATACATAATCAACTGGCGCAAGTACATCAAACTGGTATTTCCAGTATAAGTCAACCATAGAAAAGAATTCAAGATGCCATGGGCTAATGATCATAAAAACACAAGAAAAAAGAACTAGGAATGTAACTCATGCTACTTGTAAGTTTGAAAATCAGTAATGCAAGCTTATGTATGTAAATTGACTGGGATCACACCCCATTCATAATTCCCGTTTAACCTAAAAACAAAAGAGTCAAGAGAGGTAAATTTTGAAGTTTGACATGGAGCAACCAAAAACAAGACCATAGAAACATAAAAACAGAAAATACAAAGTGCGAATGCAAAGAGGCTAAACATAGATGAGGTAAGAAGTTCTTCATAAGCAACCTTAGTATATTCAAGTAACACTTAAGAGAGGAGGAAAACACACCAGTAGAGTTCTACTCCTTGTTCAAGACCTTTGGAACTTTGATATAAGGTTCCTCATAGCTTGGCATAGCTTTTATTATTGCTTCCCTGTTGAGAACGTGTGTTCATCTAAGATTAAGTGATGATTCTTATAATTGCAGACAGAGATGCAATGCTACTTTGAACAGTAGTAGATCACAGATATTCCTGATACCAACCGATTCTCAAAAATTTGAGGTAAATCATCACGTGAATTGTCATCTTCAGTATCTGCAGTTCAACATATTTCCAACAAATGAATCTGTAACTAAAGTATAAAATCTGCAGTCAAAGGACAATAGCAGTAGATGAAACCAAGAAGGCATGTCTTGTTCGTGCTTATATTCTTATTCACTTATATGACAGATTGTCAAAGCAAGAAAGGATCATCAGTAGCAATATCAATATTCTGGTTGCTGGGGTGGAGCAACATTGAAAAAAATATGAAAACATGCCAATTTAAATTCCAATTGCATGTTATCAGCACGATGTCTCCTGCACTTTAAGTTGACAAATCTCCCACCTTTTGGGTTCAAATCAGCTAATGCTAGATATTTTCAATGATAAGCAATTGAACATGCTGAGAATAATTTTAAATAAATCAAGTAGAACAAGAGGTAGACACAATAATGCCTGAAAGAAATAAAAAGGAAGGAGCAGATTAAAAAAATACTTTCATTCTTTAATGTTACAGAAAGCCTGACCTCTTTTTTAGAGTTCCAAAATTGGACCAAAAGGTAAGCCTTATCAAGCGTTTCAACTATAGACTAGCTACCAAATAAAGATTTTCATTCAAAACTGTCAAGTACCTGCTCGCATTGCTGGCTCAATACTTTCAAGATCAATAGCTTGGAGTTGCCCAAACCTGTTTCATAAAGAATCATCCAATTACAAGAAAGCCTTTAAAAATTAGAACAAAGCAATGGCCTGTCTAGTTACAAAGGAAAAACTATACCAATCCCACAGAGACAATCATCAACATAGCTCATACCCTGAAACTACCCTTTTATGACATCAGATTTATAAAAACAACTTCATGTCGGTGAAAAAAATTCAGGGAGATCAGTCGAATGATCCTTTCTGGATCCAAAACTTGCTTCTAGACTGCATTTGAATGCTACTAAGAACTACACGAGTTTCAGCAAATCAGTCTGTAAACTAATTTGATTCACTCAAATTATGATGAAGAAGCATAGATAAAATACTCCAGTCCAAGACCATACTATAAAAGAGCATTGTATTTGGAACAAAACCCACATCTCTGATTTTGTAAATTACAAACACTTATATCAATTTTTTTTTATGTCATTTCATATCAGATTTTAGAGCAAACCAATACACAAAAGTTCACAGGGAAAATCAAAACTACACCAGTCAGGCTGACATTCAAGTGTAGAAGCCTAAAACTATGATCAGTATTCATAAAACTTCAATTTTTAAGTTCCGCAAACAAATGATAAATATAAGGCTCTTCAGCAAACTCCCACATTTCAATCATACATGCATATGTTATTAGTTATAAGAAAGGGAGACAGCCAAAGAAAGAAAGAAAGAAGATACATTACCAATCAACCACTTGTTTCATTTTAGGAGCAAATTCTTCCACCTGTAAACACCCAACAAGGGAAGGGGAAAAATAAAGATTACAATCCAAAAATATACCTTTGCAACTCTGCTTAAAGAAAAAACACGGACTTCGAAGTCATCAATTATACGAGTACACATGGATATGAAGACAAGGAAGAAAAGGGCAATATATAGTAGTAATACTTCATCTGGGGTGAGGGAAATTCGAGCAGTTTCAGCCAAACGAGGAAGATTAGGGGGCTCAAGGCTAGAGTTTGCTGCGGTGGAGAAGTTGTGGCTTGTCCTATGATTCCTGCGTTCTACAAGACATTTCTTCTTCACAGGAGAAAATGGGCTTTGCCCGAAAGTCAAGAAAAGTTGGGCAGCATTAGCAGAAGGATTAATGTATGCTCCTCTGTGACTTAGCAAAACCATGAAAGCTCTGCTTCCCATTTTTTGCAGATTACTGAAAAAGCGAGAAAATTACAGCTTCAACTCTGCAAGTTCCTGTTTTAGGTAGACGTCTATCGGGGCTGTTTTGGCGGACGTTGGCCTGATTCGGAGGTTGGAGTCCAATTACCGATGGCCCGTTTCACAGCTGAGATAACTTTGTAGCTTTATATATTTAGTTTTGTTAGATAATTTTTTACATGAATCTACTTATAAAGGTGACGGTAAATTACAACATTTCTAAGTAATAGATTTCCTTTCTATATATTCAAGGATTAATTTACACTCACGTAAGAAGCACTCTCGATTAATTTTTGTACATAGAATTTTAATGACAGAGATTTCCTTTCTGTATATTCAAGGATTAATTTACACCCACATAAGAAAAGCAAACTCATGCTATCGGTTAATTCTTCTACATAGAATTTTAATGATTTATAGTACCATTTTGCATAATAAAG